GACTTCAGCCCAGACTCAAGTGTGAGAACATACAAAATGAAGGTCCAGCAAACGGACATGCAACTGAAGCCGCAGGTCACTGAAACCCCAGTGGGGTTCGTTCCTGCTCTCTCTTGTAGCGCTGTGAGGGCTGAGAGCGGAATGCTTGTCTTCACAGAGAGAGAAAAGTGGGGGAAATATCTTCATGTGTGAAACTCGCGGAGGGCTCGGTCTCTGAGAGGGACACATGGCTCTTTCAGGTGTCCCGTATCCAATGCACCAGTGTCCCAGGACTAGTAGGCTACTAGTTGATTGTCATAGCTGAGCTTGAAAAGAATGCCCTTTATAAATACAGAACTTCACTTGTAGCTTGCTAGTAACCCAATTGACAGGTTCTCTTCATTCCATTCCCTGTTATTTTCTCTTGAGGTAAAAGTTGAATAAAATGGCTGCTCAAGGTCTATGCCAGATTCTTTAATAAACAATAAACACAAGTAGTGTAATCAAATTTTAATTTAGGACACATATTTCATTATGTTATTCGATAATTAAAAATTTGAAGTGTCTCTTTGTTGGCAGTTTCCCCTTCCTTCCTTCCTTCCTTCCTTCCTTCCTTCCTTCCTTCCTTCCTTCCTTCCTTCCTCCCTCCCTCCCTCCCTCCCTCCCTCCCTCCCTCCCATCATCTGTCTGTCTGTCTTTCTTCCTGGTTTCTCTGTGTAACAACCCTGACTGTCCTAGAACTCACTTTGTAGACCATGCTGGCCTCAGACTCACAGAGTTCTGTGCACCTCTGACCCCGAGTGCTAGGATTAAAGGCGTGTGCCACCACGCCCAGGTTTGACGGATTTCTTAAAGCGCCACCAGACTTTCCTCACTGCCCCATATCTTCCTTCTACTCCCGCTTCCTCTTGACCTCTTCTCACCAGCTCCATCTCTGGTCTCAGGGACTGCAGTGTGCTCGCAAGTTCGTCCACATTGCTGTATCCTTGCCTATGCCGGACCCTCAAATCTTATCTCAAATGCTTGCAAACCTCATATTTTAGTTCTCAGCCCAGTTACTTTTTCTATAAATTCTTTTCTTTTTGGGTTCAGTTATTCATTGTACTGGAGTACTGACTTACAGCAGAATTCTCTAATTTTAATGCTTGAATTTTTCACTAGCAAGCCTGCCCACTGCCCATCTACTGTTTTGTTCAAGCCCAATAAATGTGTAACTTAGTAAAAATGAATTTTTAAAATGTGTTTCTTTTAAAAGTAGGACGTGCGTGTTTATGTGTAGGTGTGTGTGTACTTTAACTTTTACACGATTCCTTTTGTTTCCAAGTATCTGTCTCATTAATTTTCTTTTTCCTTCCTGGAGTAGCAGGGAAGTTGAGACAAGAGGGACACCTGTGAGCACCAGAGCCAGTATGTGCCTGGCAGTCAGTGGCTTGTGGCTTGGGAAAGAGTTAACTTCCGCTCTGATGTTCTCATCCAGGTAGCGAGGTCATTGACTGGTTAGTTTCTAACAAGTTGGTCCGGAATCGCCAGGAAGGCCTCATGATTTCCGCATCATTGCTCAGTGAAGGGTACCTGCAGCCTGCTGGGGATTTGTCTAAGGATGCAGCGGATGGAGTCGCTGAAAACCCTTTCCTGGACAACCCGGATGCTTTCTACTACTTTGTAAGCACGAAAAACTGCCTGCTTGGCTTTCCTGACAGAAGACCAGGGTAGATTTTCTATGAATATCAGCTTAGCGCCACCTATGCAAACAGAATGTTTGGTCCTAAGGAGAACGGATGGGTGAGAAGGCTACAGAGGAAGCCAACCAGAGTCAAAAAGTTAATAACAAGCTGCTGGGATGGCTCATTGGATGCAGGTGCTTGTTCTGAGTTCAATCCCCAGAATCTACATGGTAGAAAGGAGAATCAACTCCTACTCCTGCAAGTTGTCCTTTGACCTCCATACCCACTCGAAAGCTTGCACATGCTCACACATAGTCAAACTCACATCAGCGCGCGTGTGTGCGCGCGCACACACACACACACACACGCACACTCACACTCACAAATGTTTTAAAGACAAATACTACAAGATACAGAAGTACAGGTCCATAAAACTTCTATTACACCAGCACTTTCTAGACCTAGCAGCTGCTCCCTCAGTGCTGCCTTCTCCAAGTGACCGGTTGGAAGGAAGCGATTGCTGACTTGAGTAGTTTTTCTCTGAACTCACTTTTGAAATCTTGTGCCCTTTATTCTGATTTAAGCAATCATTCCTTTAGGAAGGTGTGTGTGTGCCTCTACGTGGCATGTGTTGTCCTTGACAAAGGGAGCACAGCAGTGGATAGGCAACAGTGCCAGTCCTGGTACGATGTCCTTCTCACAGGGCTGCCAATAAGCTGTCTGTCTGTGTTCAAATCTACAATCAAATAGGCACGATGCTTCTGCATGCACTTCCCCCAAGACCTTGCATGCCTCCTATCTCATGCCTACCGAGATTGCTAAATCTCATCTTATGTAACAAGAGCCTAACTTGCCATCACGTGGTAATGTCAACAGCTGTGGGTTTCTAGGGGGATTTTTGACAGTTTTGTTTCTATTTTGGGTCAGAATGTAGAAGTTCGGAAAGCTATGTGAAGAGTCATCCCGCTTACACAAGTGAGGTGAATATCCCAGACAGTGTTTCACTTCACTTTTGCGGGAGGTCCACGATCAGTACATTTTCATGCTTCAGACCCTTGGTCTAATCTTTTTATTGTCGTTTCTTAAGGCTATAAAGATGAAGGATGCTAAATTAGCTCCCCACAGCCGCTCCTCCTCTGTGCGGTTTGACACTCTCTTTTAGCTCAGAAAATCTCCAAGTATCCAGACAGCAGGGGCCAATGTGATGCACACACTCTTGGTTCTCTCAGGGCTAGAGATAGAGCGTTGTGACAAGTCACAGTGGAGAGCAGCGGAGAGCGTTACATCAGGTGTTGTCAGTGTGACTTCAAACATGTGGCCTTGAAGACCCATGAGAAGTTGGAACTATAGAGATAGACTTAGGACATAGCCTGGAGAATCATAGAAAATCAAAGGCTATTGACCAGATCATCCAGGGATAGAGACACAAAAGGACCAGGATCCAGGGGGCAAGAAAATGGGGGATGCTTAGACAGCAAACCCAGAGTAACCTTGAAGTAACCTTCGTGTCATGGCACACACAACAGCATGGAGGAAAAGTGTCTGGCAGGAATCGGTGCAGACATCAGTATGGCATTATTCTTGAGACTGATAAGAACCTGCTGTGTGGTTTTCCAACAGCCGGACAGTGGATTCTTCTGTGAAGAGAATTCCAGCGATGAGGATGTGATTCTGAGAGAAGAATTCAGAGGTGTTATCATCAAGCAGGGATGTTTACTGAAGCAGGTGAGTGACTACCACTATTTTCCTCCTTCCGTTTCAAGCCTTCTAATTTTTTTCCTAAATTGCCAATGTGAGCTGAGGATGGCAGTGTATGTCTATAATTCCAGCACTCATAAGGCTTAATTAGCCATAAGGACTGCAATGAGCTCAAGGCTAGACTAGATAGTGAGACTTTATCTCAAAAAGACAAAAGAAACAAAAAAGGAAAAAAGTTGGCATTATTAAATAGAATTTAGTTTACTTGACTAATAGCCAACCAGAAAATGAAACTCGGAAGATGAAAGATCAAATGCTAAGTAGATGATGAACATAATGCTGGTTAGGACTGGGACAGTCAGGGTTCAAAGTTCCCCGAGAAATAATGAATGCTTCTTTTGCCAGTGTCATGATGGTGAAAAGTATTTTCAGAAAATATTGCTCTTTCTTTAATAACTAGACATAAGCTGGCCAAGAGAGGCCATCCAAAAGATAAAGACATTTCATGATGTAGTACTTCAAAGTGATCAGAAAATAAGAACGGGCCACACTATATGGTAATGTTTAAGAACAAGGAAGTACCATTCCAGACTGTGGTGAAGCCTGGTGAGATGGAAAACTATGGCACGAGGCCCCTATCTGTAGGCATAGTGGGCTAAGATCAGGTCCTGTTGGAGGGCACGGGCACAGTGCAGGTGTGTGTGTGTATGTGTGTGTGTGTGTGTGTGTGTGTGTGTGTGTGATTATGTGTAATTTCAGGTAATCATGATCAACCTTTGAGGCCAGGTCTGTGGTAAACAGAAGCTCTCCACAGCTCTAGGTGCCCAGGGCTGTGATAGTAAGAGTTAAAAGAGCACAGGGTCTCTTAGCAAGAAGTCATTCTGGAGGGGTGGCTTATCTCCCCAATCCCCAAAATTGGGGCGAAAGAATCCTCCTTACCACCCTCAATTCCCAATATGGGACAACTTTAGGTATATACCATGGTATCTTGTGACTGTTTCATTTAACTTGTGCCCACAAAGACTTCCGACTTCTCTTTCATCCAGAAAACTCATAGTCTAAGACCACCTGCTACATTGGTTATTTCTTTTAAAAATGTGACACTCTGTAATACAGACTCTTGTACAGAACAAAGAAAAAGAGGGGAGAGGGGGAGAAGAAGGAAGAGAGGGAGAGAGGAAGGGGGAGGGAGGGTGGGAGAGAGGGAGGTGACAGCAGAGTCTGACTCTGTTCCAGTGAGCAGAGATGGCACTGGAAAGGGTGAGAAAATCCACAATGTCATAGTCACTTCGGCCACCCACGCCTTTTAACAGGCTGTGTTTGTTCTGCTCGGGGAGGCACTGGCTGTGAAGTCTTTTCCCACTTCCTAGTGGTCTCTATCCTCATAGAAGAAGCCAGTAGAGGCCATTCATCATTGTTCACCCCATTTTGTCATGGGCTAGGTGATGGGGGTGATCTGATTGACCTGGTTAGTGCAGCCAGCTACCACAGTTGTAGGGTGTAGCATGAGGGCCAGCTTGTTGGGGTTTCTGTCCCACCCGGTACCCCACAACCGGCAATTCCCAAAGAAGATAACACGGAGTCTACATTAGGTTATAAACTGATTGGCCCTTATCTTAACCCATTATTCTGATCTATGTTAGCCATATGGCTTGGTACCTTTTTCAGCTGGGCAGCTTACATGTTTCCTCTCCGGTGGTCTGCGCAGGAGTGGCAGAGGAACCTTCCTGCTTCCCAGAATTCTCCTCTTCTCATTGCATCACCTCTACTTCCTGTCTGGTTTTCCCACCTATACTGCCTGCCTGGCCAATCAGCGTTTTATTAAAATATGATTGACAGAATACAGACAATTCTCCCGCATCATTTTCCTCTTTTTTTTTTTAAACAAAGGAAAATACCCATAGTCCATTTGTTGGGAATGTGGGCGTAGTATTTCAGGCTACTTCCTGCTGGTTGGGGGCGCTGATGATCTTATGAGGACCTAAAGAAAATTTAGAGTTATAATCAAGTACTGACTGGAGTATCCTGTGAGTCTTGATCATCTCAGGCAGCAGTTTTGAATCTGTTCTGGATGTAGAACTCAGACGTCTGGGCTAGCTGTTCCCGTTGGAGATTTCTCAGGTGGCCTTCCTTGATCATACTGGATTTTTCTTAACTCAGAATGAATCCACAACCTCTCATTTTCTGTGGAAACAAAAGCAAAATCTCTTCTCCAAAGTAACAAATATTTGACTTCAGTTTTGAAGTCAAGGTATTTTCAAAATACCTATCTTGGGTTAGTTCAGCAGTATTTATAAACAACAGTACTTTAGCAGCTGTTGCTCCTTCCTCAGCATTCAAACAATTCAAAGAGAGCACAATAGCATACAGTATCAAGATTCTCTGTTTATTTTCCATCTTTATTTTAACCTCTATTTCTTTTATTTTTACTTTTACTTTTTGAGACAGGTTCTCTGTATATCTTTGTCCTGGAATAACACTGTAGACCAGGCTGTCCTTGAACTCACAGAGATCCTTCTGTCTCTGCCTCCCCAGTACTGGGCTCAAAGGTGTTTGCTACCACACCTTGAAGTCACAGAGGTCAACTACCTCTGCCCCTTAAAGTCTCAGAGGTCAACGTACCTCTGCCTCCCAGGCGTTGGGATTAAAGGTGTGTACCACCACACCCTATTTCTCCCTTTCTTTCTTTTTTATTTTTAATGACTTTAACCTTTAGCCTGCATATATTTTTAACACACTGTAAACTCTTTAGAGGTTTTCTTCATCTTTGAACCTCTCTTTACTGTATCTCTCTCTCTCTTTTGACTATATGAGTCTTTAAGGAGAAGATTAATCCTCTCCTTTAAAGCCGTGGCTTTGACGGCTAGATCCAGCTCATTCTTTAGCTTTCCAGCCTTGTGGCTGAGGTACCAGCCAGAGCTGTGTTCACTGCCACAACTCTATGGCTTTTCAAGGTCCTTGCCAACAAGCAAACTGAGACCACACTCAGTCGGACTGCCTGCCTGAAAGAGTCAGAATTTGCCCTGGCAGGACGGCCGGCATTTTAAAATAGCATAGCTTTTTTTCCTGCTACGACTGAAAACCGAAAAGCATGCATTCAGCTTTTCACCAACACCATTTAAGTGTTTCATGGCAGGACCTCTTAATGAGCTGCAGGGTTTTGCAGCTAAAGCTGAGTCAGGAAGCCTCTCTTAGCTGAGAGCCTTCTTGTCTCTAGCAAGCAGAGCAGACCTGAGAAATTGCTGCTACCATACCAAGAAAACATGCTTTACTCTATTCTTTTCCAAACTTTCTCAAGCTTTCTGTGGATTCAGTTATCCATGTCTGGGCGCCATATGTAGCATGAGGGCCGGCTTGTTGGGGTTTCTGTCCTACCTGGTACCCCACAACCGGCAATTCCCAAAGAAAATACCACAGAGTCTACATTAGGTTATAAACTGATTGGCCCTTATCTTAACCCATTATTCTGATCTATGTTAGCCATATGGCTTGGTACCTTTTTCAGCTGGGCAGCTTACATGTTTCCTTTCCAGTGGTCTGAGCAGGAGTGGCAGAGGAACCTCCCTGCTTCCCAGAATTCTCCTGTTCTCATTGCATCACCTCTACTTCCTGTCTGGTTTTCCCACCTATACTGCCTGCCTGGTCAATCAGCGTTTTATTAAAATATGATTGACAGAATACAGACAATTCTCCCGCATCAGTAGGGTCACATCAGAATAAAAAAAGGGGCTGGGAAATGGTGGTTTTCATAAAAGGGAGGAGTTTGCAAACATTTAGTACACTTACAAGCTCAACAAGAAGTTAATCTTACTTCGTGGCTGGGTCACCGAGTTTGGTGCTGGTGTGTGTATGTGCACGTGTGGGTATGTGTGCATCGGCACTGGGCATTTTCAAGTTCCTTGTGTCTTATTCAAAGAATTTAAAAAGTGCACACAGATGGAAAGGTGTCAGCTTTATTTGAAGAGATAGTGCAGGGGACAGGGCAGGGGATGCTACTAGGAAGCAGCAAGCTAGACAGACTAGAGACCAGGTTCACAGCTCCTTTTCATGGGGTCCAGAATGAGGATGTGTTAATTTCTAGGGCATGTAGTTGGGTGGTTCTTTTTTGATTAATAGTCCTGGGTCTTGGGTTACATAAGTTTTTCTTCATTGCATGTGACTTTTTTCCATGATACATCTAAACTTAATCTAATTAATTCAAAAATATAGACATAAGAAGACAGAGGATTTTCCCTAAAAGTTCACTTTATTGCACATGAACCCCAATTTGTTTGAGTTGCTTTTGTCCCCTCCCTCTAGTTCACACGTGCATTTCAGGACATGTTTGAACAGAGAGGTTTGGTGTTTGTGTAGTTCCTGGCAGGAGAGAATTCCAGGATGCCAGGTGCATTGGAAGGAAGGAGGTGTGTGTAGCCCAAGCCAAGAAGAGTCATAGGTTGCTGAGTTTTTCTTATGCCTGCCCCAATCCTTTAGCTCCCGAGTGATCCTATTCATATCAGAATCACTTGGTAGCAAACTAAAAAATAACTTTATGGTCTTCAAAATATCAACTCTCCTTCCGTTACTGCTGATAGTTTACCAGGGTTAGCCTATAAAGTGTAACATGATAAAGGATACCTGTGTTGCACACAGGTGGAGCAGCTGTGTCTACGTGGAGGACTGTGTTCCCCTGCCTCTTTCCCACTTCTGTCTCAGGAGAAATACTCATAATTGGTCAATGGAACAAGTACAAGGATGATTGAATGGGTTATCTTCTGTCTAATCCCTTCTGTTTAAGTTTCCTATTATAACAATGAGCTAAATACCTTTCTGTTTAATCTTTGATCACATAAAGAGTTTGTGAGGGAACAAACCATGTATTACGTATGCTTTTCTTGTTTGTGCCATAGAATTCAACACTCTTTTTTGTTCTGTTATAAATAATAACCACTTGCCAGTCAACAAAATCAAATATAATATATGACTGATAATTCAATTAATAGTTGTTAGAAAACCCAGGCATGTTTATGCTCTTGAAATCTTTCAGTAAGTAATTCCTAAAGAAGGACGATCAGACACTTATAGTAGACCTTTCAATAAACCCCTTTGTGATGGTGGAGAGGGCTTTCAGAGAATATGACAGCTGCTTAAGGTTGACTGATCCATCAGCTCAGGATAACGTGGTAGCCACTTAATAGTCACACAAGACAGCACGGCTTTCACGTCTTCCAAAAAAGAAGAAATTGTGTGAGGCAACCTAAGTGCCCATATCTCGTGGGCAATGTCATTAAGGCAAAGAAGATACCCATATTTGTAGATGTGGATGGATCTTAGAAGTCTTTCTGAAGTGGAGAGATTGCTTACTGCTTAAGAATACCCTCTGCTCTTGTAGAGAACTGGGGTTCAGCTCCTAGCACTCATATGGAGGCTAACAGATACCCCTAACTCCAGTTCCAGGATACCCACTGCCTTATGACCCCAAGAACACACATGGTATATATATCTTGTTTATATATGTATATGTAACATATATATATGAATGAGAACCTACGTTCTATCACCAGAACCCAAAGCAGACATCTTTATTGTGCTTTGTTTGATAACTCATGTCTACAGTCACATATCTCTCATTTAATTCTTTTGAAATCCATTATTTATATCTAGCATTTTACTTGGATTTTGTCATAGTCTATTTCCATATGGATCACCAACTCCATTTGTATTGTCATCAAATACAAGGACAATGTCTTGAGTCAAGTTATATGCCCAGCACTGCCTAACATGTCACATATGTAGTACCATTTCACATAATTCTAAAGTTGGAAGACAGTGCAGAAATAATTTAACTTACCCATGTGATTCAATAACATCTGTCTCATTAATTGGCCTTGGCTCGATCTCCCAGAGAAAGACATGGGCCAGGACATCAGCAGACTTCTTACCTGGGGCGCTGTGTGTACAGAGGGATGCTAGCAACTCACCCTTCCTTTCTCTGTTCCTTGATACAGGGCCACAGGAGGAAAAACTGGAAAGTGAGAAAGTTCATCCTGAGAGAAGACCCTGCCTACCTGCATTACTACGACCCTGCTGGGGTGAGTTTCCATGGTTGCTAAATCCATTCAGGGAGAAGCTTTGCAGTGTGTGTGAACTGAGGCCACGCCCCCTCTGTTTTGATGGCTTTCATCTTTGCTTCCTCCTCTCTGCCACTTTGTTCTACCACCTCCCATGCCAGTGCCTGAGTTCTCAAGTTCCTTAGACCAGCCAGGACTCAGCAGCGGAAGAAAATATCAGTGCATTATACATATTTGGTGAACTCAGTATAACTTTTTGTCCCATTGAGATATATATCACCATTTTAGCTTCTCTCTTTCCTGGTGAGATTTTCACACCTGTATCTGCCCTCATTCGGTTGCCATTCCTCTATCCTACTGCCCTCCCTTCTGTCTTCTCCGAGCCTGTTAGATCCTTCCTTGCCTTGAATAGCCTTTCAGCTTTCATGTCACATACTCCTCTCCCTCCTTCCTTTTGTACCTCTTCCTCCTCTTTTGTAGTCCGTATTCTACTTTCTAGTTTCTTCATAGGAGAGACCATGAGGGCTGTTTATCTTCCTGAGTCTGGCTAATCTTGCTTTAACAAAATGGTCTCTAGTTCCATCCATTTTCCTACACGTATCAATATTTTGTTTTGTTTATATCTGTATATGTTACACATTTTAACTGCTTAGC